CCACTTCCTCACGGACCTGAGCTTGTCCAAGCTGAAGTATTATACCTGTGCTTTCAAGACGGTCCTAGTTGGAGAATTTTTTCAAAAGATAGCAAGGTCCCTTCAAATTTTACGATCTTTAGCAAAGTCACTGTTTTAGATGTTGTTAAGACACTCATCAAGATGTCACTGAGAATGTAGATTTCATATGTATTAAAACTCGTAGAACAAAGAGCAAGGAGACCTCAGTGAACAAGACAGACATCATTCTTGCTCCTTGAACTTACCTTCTAGTGGGAAACAAAAAGTAAACACCAGCTTGAAATGAAAGAATTGTGGTACCCGTAATGAGTAGAATGAGATGATATAATAAACACTGAGCTGAAATAGAGAGTGATGTTGCAGGGTGGTGTGGATGGATGATAATGGCAGGGACCGCCTTTAGGTAGGGGAGTTGCTGAGAATGAAGCCTGAAACCCTATAAGCAAACGTGGAAAGGAAGCTAGACATACAGGATTTTGAGTAAAAGTTTTAGAATTTATTCTAAGTACAACCAGAAATCACTGAAATAATTTATATTAGGAGTGATATTATTTAATGTTTTAAGATCACTTAATATCTTCTCTATGTAGACTAACCAAAAGGCATTTTGTTAAAACAAAAATGCCTTCTTTGATACATTTGATTTTTTTTTCATTTTGATCATGATGTCATTGCTCAATTAGTTCAATAAATCTGTCATGTGACATGTCACAGTGCTAGAAACTCTCAGAGTAAAGATAGTGAAAAATGGTCCTCATGTTTTTCTATTGGTTAATTCTAATAGCTGAACCCCTAAATACAGTGCTTTGTTATTGTGCCTATGAATCATTTATATTTCAAAACTGTGTGCTAGAATTATATTTCCTCTTCACAGGTCCAGTGTCCTATACCCTGTGTCACTCAAAGAGAAATGTTGCTAGCATCAAAATCAACTCTATTTTCTAATACTTTATACCACAGTCTACTTTGCTTCATATTTTAATCATGACAGATTCATATAATTTTCCCCCCCTGGAGTTTCAGCTCTCTTCCCTTTTGGCAAAAGAATAATCTGTATTCACAGTATTCTAGAGTTTTCCATTGTCTTAATCTGGTCATTTACTGCATGGAATCTTTCTTTTTTTTCCTGGACACATACTCTTCCTCAGCACACCAGTCCCCTCCTCCAACCTGAACCAGTTATGTTCTAGATTGTCTGCACAGCTTACATGCAAACACTTCCCTTCCCTGATTCCTGAGTTGGATGCTTTCTTGGATCTCAGATCTTCCACTTTCATGGTTTTCTCCCACACGCTACTAAAGTAACACCTTAAACAATTTCTCAAGGAAAAAAAATGCATAGATGGTAAGACTTCTCAATCTTTGCATGTTTGGAAATATTTCTAGTTGGACTTTTTAGCTGACAATTTTAGCTGAGTATAAAATCATAAATTCAAAACCTTTTTCCCTCAGAACTTCAGAAGCATCTACTGTTTTCTCACCACCCCTCTACCCCCACCCCACTGATTGAAAGCAGGGTTCCTCCTCCTTCTTTGCCTCTATATTCTCCTCCCATTCTTTATATTCATATATTCTCCTACTATTCTTTATATTCTTATATTCTCCTCATCATCTTTCTGGTAAATTTCGGAATCTTGTCTTTCTACTTTGTAAGTGGAAAGTTCATAATGATGTAATTTTCACGTATCCTGGTCAGGCTAAGGTAAGCATTTCTAGTCAGAAGAAATTTCCTTTTTCAGCTTTGGGAAATTTTGCTTTTATTGTTTATGTGATTATTTGCTCCCTTTCACATATTCTGTTCTCTCTTTTGAGACTCCTATACAGTGAGATGTTCAGAAATTGGGCCTTTTGGAGGAATCCTCTATTTCTCTTATCACTTTTTCATATTTTCTATCTTTTTTTTCTTCCTACATATTAGAAGCCTTGGTCGATTTCACCTTCTAGCTCTTTCATTAAAAGATATTTTGGCAATTCTCTTTTTTAAATATCCAAAACCTCCTGTTTTCTCTGATCATTCATTTTTTAAATTATTTTCTTCTGTTTATGGGAATATAATAACTTTTGAATTTCCCTAAATATAGAAATTATCATTTTTAATATTCTTTTTGTCCCAAATTATCTCTGCTTGCCCTGGTTTTGTTGTTTAGTTAATTATGATCTTTCTCTTCTATGCCGCTGGTAATACTCACAGTATATGAGTATATATACTCACAGTATATCACAGGTCTAATGACATCTAGAGGTCCCTTTACTTTTAATAAAAAATGAATAGGCTGATGATTCAAGGTGGTTGGGTGGTTTCCTCTGCTGTTGCATTTATGCATTTGAAAGGGAAGGAAGACAGAGATCTGAGTCATTGGGTAGAGCTTGTCAAAGGGCAAGTTTCAAGTTGGAGAGTACAGATAAGAAGTCTACCTGGAGGCTTAGGTCCCCAGATGTCAACATAAATAGGGTTTTCTCTAGACACTAAAATCCACCTCAGGCAACCTTAGCTCTTCCTCAGAAAAAATTTTCAATTGTTCTAGAGAAAGCCCTTTGCTCAATTTTTTTGCATGTGGGTAAATCCCAGCTGCCTGTTTAGCACATAGGCATGTGCAGGTGGGAGGGGTAAGACCAGAAGAAGCAATTTTATAAGAGATATCTTCAATGCTCCTGATTTCAACTCTACTCCTTACCCCCAAAATTTTCACTGAGAGATTGGCTCCTCCCTCCCCTGCAGCCCTTACATAGAGTGATCTGGACCATAATTTCTTTTGCTCTGTTTAGTCATACATTCACTTCCATCTGCTTTCTGCTGTCCAGAAATATGTTCTATTGTTGCTTTGCTGAAGAGCATATGTGATGGCAAATATTGTTGCAGCCACTTTTGGAAAATACAATCTTCCATACTAGTAAATGCTAGAGAAATAGCTACCAGTCAATTTCAGCACAGCACAGAAATGGAACAGGTGTTGGGTAAGGGAAGGGGTACACACAAAAACAACTCATTTTATCTTTATATTCCAACTCAAGAATTTATTTAAAATACACTTATTCAGAAGACATTATTCAGAACATAAGCTTTCCTACTGTTTAACTTCTGTCCATGTATTTGCTGTCCTTTATTATTTGCTCTTTATATTCATTAAGACCTTTAGTATCTTGGAATTCAACTTAAGGAATTCAATTCAACTTAAGGAAAATCTACTGATACTCTCTGCTCCAGGTATGCTCACAATTTTTATATTGTCTTCTCCCCAACTTAAAAATGAGTATTCTCTGATTTAGAAATACAACCTATCTTGTAACTTTTTATCCATATATAATATTGTACCTTGTATGACTTCACTGTAAAGTCTATGGGTAAGGGACAAGTCTTTCCCATTTTTGTGTGCCACCTAATGCCCAACACTTAATAAGCATTAGTTGGATTAGTAATGAGCTCACCTCAGAAGTTCAGGCACTAAATTTTATATCTTTTAGTAAGAGAAGAAGTCCTCAGGCATATTTACTTTTGTCTTATCCAGATTCTTAAACATATTGTTATATGATTTCTCAACCTACAAAACAGCAGTGCAGTGAAATAAAAGCACTCTCTCCTGGACTATGAAGGAAAAAATGACTTAAGTTAATAGGCATAAGAACAAAAAATCATCAAAAACAGCCTGAACTTTTAAAAGCACATTAGTATTAGTCTACTTAGAATATTCAGTGTAGGACAAACAAGCATTAGTAATTTCTAACTGTTTCCCTGTATTCAAGCCCAATATGAGAATCACTATTCATAACCATGACAGTATGGCATTAGGGCTAAGCACAGGAACTTGGCAGTCCAAAAACTTAGATTCAAACTCTGACTCCTTCTTTTAATGACTACATGGTTTTGGGGATATTGTTTTTCCCATCTGAGCTTTGATTTCCTCATATTTAAGAAGAGAATAATAATTCCTATGGCTCTTAGAACATACAAAAAACTCAATTAATGCTCGTTATTACTATGCTCTTAGTCTTCATTAAAATTACTTTAGATACCTTTATTTTTTGAAAAGTATATGCAACATTTTAGAAAGATTTCCACCTAAAATGAATCAGAGGAAAAAGAACAGGAAGTGGGAGAGGAAACTGATATTTATGTAACACCTATGATTTTTAAGCAGCTGTTGTGTTCCAGTCACTACAATAGAAATTAGATATAAATTTCCTCATTAAAAACAACACTATCATAGGTATTTTTATCTTCCTTTTATATATGAGGAAACTAAGGCTCAGAGATAATCCCATCTATTTTTTCAATGATTCAGGTAACATTTATTGAGATTCTACTACATATCTACAAAATACTACCATAAGAAGCAGAGCCTATGGACCTGGATCCTCTTCTATCCACCATAATTTATTTCAAAACCTCATTTAAGTGAAATTAGTTATTTTCTATGCTAGGTAAGTGATTCTTTTTTATATAAATAATTATCAAATATAAATTGTAATGTGATAAATTGATGTACTCATAGTTACTAAAACATGGTCAATAAATGTTCAAAGGATATCTACATATGAAAAAAACATGAGAAAGGGAAAAGATAAAAAGTATAAAATAAACCTAAACCCTTCAAATACAAGTATTTTAATAAGCAGATCAAATCACAGAAACACTCTCTAAAGGTGTCCAAATTATTCTGTTAAGCAATGATGTTACGACATTAAATATTTCCTGAAATAGTACACATTTTAGGAACCTCAAAACCTCTGTCATTATCCAAGAATTTTCTTTGTCATATCTTCCTTATAGGATTTAACTGCAAAAATATATCGATAGCACTGTTTTTTCCCCAGGGAAAGAGTGGTTCACCTCCTTCCCCTGTCCTTCCTAGAAGTTCCAGGTATTTTGCTATTTGTTACCATCTTTAAATTTGGCAACTTTGAAATCATGTAGGCAAAGGACTAGATCTCAGTGACACTTTAATGGGACATTTAATAAATATCATGATTTATTGGCTTACGTGCATGGACTCTCAAAGCTGTGGTTACTTTTCAGCTCTTGAAGGTTGCTTTGATTGGGCTGAATGTTTCATATGTGATTCAAGTGGTTTCTTCCTCTAATTCTCACTGAGGGAGCAGTTTCCTGGCTTCAGCACTCTCCTGGCAGAAAATGATGGATTCAAAAAACAGATATTGGGTCCAAGCATTTTAAACTTTTATCCATATTCATTACTTCATCAACCCCATATCCAAACCATCACTGACAATGTGGCAGAAACCACACCACCTTAGGAGTTAAGAATCCCAGGGTTTGATACTGGCCCTGACATTCATTAGTTTTATGACCTTGGCTAAGGCATTTAACCACTTGGTCTCTCAGTTTCTTCATCTGTCATTTAGGTTGTAATGTATCTCCCTTGTAAAGATAAGGCAAATAAAATTGTCATGCTTATGCAAAAAGTTTGCAATTTTTGAAGTACATGATTATGCTGGTATAAATCAAAGACTAACCCTAAAAAATGGTATCCAGTTGTACCCAACCCTGTCTTGTCTAAACAGGTCTCTCATTCTCTCACCAAATCCTCCTCATTGTACCTCAACAAGCACAAGCTTATAGTCACAATTCTCTTCACTGGAGTTTACAGCCCAAACTCACGTTCAATACTCTCTCTCAGCATTACCCAGTTATCGTTTTGTTAAAAATAGTATTTGTGGGCTTCCCTCGTGGTGCAGTGGTTGAGAGTCCGCCTGCCGATGCAGGGGACACGGGTTCGTGCCCGGGTCTGGGAAGATCCCACCGCGGCTGCGCCCGTGAGCCATGGCTGCTGAGCCTGCGCGTCTGGAGCCTGTGCTCCGCAACGGGAGAGGCCACAACAGTGACAGGCCCGCGTCCCGCAAAAAAAAAAAAAAAAAAAAAAAGTATTTGTTTAGTTTAGAGTTTATAAAGCTCTATATTATTAACTTGATTCATACAACAACCCAGTAAGCTACCTATGGAAAAGGTTATCTTTTTATTGTGGCTGTTGCATTGTAGTTGATATCTCACTTCCTTTTGCAAACATTTGAAGTAATAGAAGTTCTAAGCCACATTTTGCAGATAAGAAAACTAAGACTCAGAGAGGTGAATTAGAAAAAGAAGAAATAGAAAATTAGTTGTAAATCCATTGATAAATCCACATCTCTTGACTACATATTCCAAGTTTTTCCTACTAGGTGATTATCTCTTCTCTTTGCAATGGTTCTTATTGATATTAACCTTATCTGTATCTACTTGTTCTACATTAGCCAGCAGTTTAGTTGCTAAACTACATCTTTTAAAAATTATAAACATTTATTTTCCTAGTCCCAAAGAAATACAAAATGATATGATATAATAGTAAGATGAGAGGGAGCAAAGAGACAACATTTTAAATTAAGTTCACAAATGCAACCAATTTAAGCATTCCCCACAAAATTATAAATGATAAGATATTGAACTGGGAATTAAGCTGCTTCTAACACATCTTGAGACATTATTTTGTTGGAAGTACTGTAGTTCATAGAATATCAATTATGACATTGTTCAACTCTAGCTCAAAACATAACTCAAAACCAAATATAAATGTTGTCTATATTACTGTGTCATTGTTCCTCTGTATTTTTTTACTATTATTATTCCTGTTCACATGTAATCTGATCTCAAGGATTCAAATGTTCATAATATTTCAAAAACACAATCTTTGAAAATAAATAGGCCAGATTTCTATAAAAAAATGTGTATTGAGCTATGCAGTAATGATTAAATGCCAGAAAAGTAGCATGTATATTTCAAGACAGTACAAAAAAACCAGTTAAACATGAGGGAAAATAAATCCCTATCCCAATTTTCCCCTCACTTGTACCTGGGTGAATATAATTCAGGTTCAAACATCAAATCAGCTAAGGAGTAAATAAAATTACATCCAAAAAAACCCAATTTTAATATTTAATAAAATGTTAAAAAGATTGAACACCTTGGCACTTCCCTTAAATGTAAACCCTTACAAGCATGAAAATAATAAAAATAAATCATAACATTCAAGTAAATTACAAAAGGCATTTAATGTTATTACTAATAATAGATGCAATAATTTACATTGTGCAAAACATTATACTTTTCACAATTTTCTCACTTCAATTCATTGTTTACTGCCTACAATTTCTGGTCCTCAAATCTTGTTGACGTTGATAATCCGCAATAGATATCAAAAACCTTAACTGTAACACTAATTGCTACAAAGAAGACCAGAGCAAAGAATCCAGATTTTTTTGAAAAAACTTCCAAAAGGAAATAATGGAATATGACATTTGGACAAGATGAAAAGACACATCTTCCTTTGCTGTTTCATGTAGAAAATGAAAAGAGTTTGTCTCATTATTTTCTGTTTTCATCTCATTTTTTTTGACATACTTCTGGCATATTATATCCTGTTCTCTCCTCACAATTTCCACAATGAAATAAAAAAATTGAAGAGCCCAGCATTTCCGGATGTAATAAATTACCACCGTGAGAAAGTTAGGTGATTGTTCACCTATTGTCCTTGAATTTGATATTTTTTCCTTTTTCTATCTGCATGTCCTTCAAAACCCACTACATTTCCCTACACCTGCTAAGGTCTCTTAGTAGGACAAATAGTAGGTGAGTCAAACAAAGACCAAAACTCTAAATCCACTGACAACTGAAATGCAGGTGGAGGGTTTTTTTCCCACATTTTAAAAAGGACAAAATATTACTGCCAAATAGACATTTTGCTAATAAAGAAACTGGCTCAGAAAAGAAGCAAATTATAAAGATATTATATCATTGGGTAGAAAATTATACGGAAAGTCAGATCTCACTAAGTGTGGTATTTTGTGGTTCTGCTGTAATGGAATAAGACAAAATGACCTTCAATTGAGTTTCCATTTAATTTCTTATTACCAAGGCATTGGATCTGTATATAGGAAAATTTAGAGCTAGAAAATAAAGAACTTGATCAGTATCCAGATACAGATACTGATTTGGATTATCCACATTAATCCAAATGTGGATAAGTAGGGAAAGCAGAAAAACTGTTTAATTACATGACCATTAAACACTTGGGAGGGTCAAAATTATACCATGAAAAAGAATCAATCCTAATTCTTCACAATTTAAAATTTTATATCATTCATTCCACTTTAAATATTGAAGCACACCTCCTTGTAATGTATGATTTATACTAAAATTGTGTTTTTCCTTTACAGAGAAAAGAAAGCGATCTTTTATTTAATAAGAACTTGAATCAGGAAAGGCCAACTCATTGTGTTAGTTCTTATTCTTTGGACAAGAATATTGCTGTATAGAGTCAAGTAATGATTTGGTCCTTGGAAGAGACTTTTTTGATATTACCAAGTTCCCTATTCAAAATGGAAACTTTGAAGTCAAGTCTAAACCCGGAGACCCATTTTGGTGGAGAAGAGTTTGACAAATCAAAGGTCAATCATTTGGTTGCCAAGTTCAAGCTCAAGAACCCAAAGAATAGCTTTAGAAGACTCAAGAACCCAAAGAATAGCTTTAGAAGACTAGCTTTACCTCTTGGTACACCTTGGATGTCATACTTACTTAATGTTCTCTGATATTGGGGCTGATGGTGACATAATAACTACTAGACTAGGCATAAAATATCAATCCCCTCCACCCCCCAACACACACAAATATATACTACTTACTCAGTTAACTAGCCTAATGCCCTTGTTCAGGTTTATGAATGCAAGAAGGCATTAAACACAGATAAGAACGTGTTGACAAACTTGAAATCACAGACACACAAATTAAGTTTTTACATTAACGCTAATAGCATTTTTTAAATGTATGCTGCTTAGATAAGTACAGGCAAAATGACAATATTAAAATAATTTGTAACAAATAAGATATTAAACACATGGTTTAAGAGTCTGAGAAATACAAAGCAGGGAGTTCAAGGTCTCTTCTTAGAAACTGACATAAATCTTTCCACAAAAAAATTCATGTTAGAGACGAGAAAGTACTAAGTTACGATCAATAATAAAGACAAAAAAAGCATTATTATCCAATTGGCTGGCTAGGAATCAGACTGCTGGTCAGGAAGATGAAAGTGCTAACAGAAAGAAATAGAAGATGTCTGTAATCCCATCATGACTATGCCAGAAGAAAGCAGAGGCAAGCTAGATGATGACCTGTAGCTTGTCACGGGTGAATTCCACCTGGAAGTGTCAGTTCCAGACCCAAGAACAAATAGGATGGCTAAGCAGACCAGAAATATATACTCTATTAAGCCTGTCACAAAATTTGAAGGACCTACATTTGTAGCAAAGTCGGTATAGTGGTAGTTTAAGAATCTCATTTGAGATGCCATTTCTAAGTATTCTGAATTCTTGAATATAAGTTTTATCAGCACCCTAGATTAGCAGAAAATACAATTCATTCCTTTAAAATAAAGACTTATTTGAAACTGGCACCATTAAACACTTCATGACAGACATTGCTTATTTTTAAAAGGCTTTTGTTTAGGTTCAGTCTTCTAATGACAGAGGTAATGAATTTTTTTTATCCCATAGACTACCCTGTTGCCCAGTATCCTGAAAGAAACACAAAGCATGCTTTGGCTAAGTTTGGGGCTCTCTAACATTGTGAAAATTGGGGTGTTTCCTAGGGAGAAGGATAAGCAGCATTACATAAGTAGATGTACCAAATTTTCTTAGCAACAAATTTGTGCAAGCAAAAAAATGTATTCAGCTTCAGTTACTCTGATGAATGCTATAGAGACCCTTAGAAGCCTAGAAAAATCTTTTAGCCACTTAGGGATGCTAATTTACAAGGGACAGAAAAGCAATATGCTAATTTTTGTAAACAGCTATTCTTTGAACAAACATTCTGAAATACTACGAAGGGACAAGAAGAGAGAGTACATCTCCATTATTCTCAGAGACACAAAATAGCCTGATCCTAATATTCTAATTAAATGGGGTTTTATAGAATTTTTCCTTCATGAACAGGACTGAGATTTTTCAAAATGCTTGTTTGGACATAAAGTCCTTGTGCCTCTTCAGTGTGAAAGAGATTTAAATGTTTCTGTCTCCAAGGTAGTGTTTTCTCCCTTCTAAAAATATTTTTGTTGACCTACTTTAATTGGGCTCTTTAG